TAAATAATTTTAATACACGTTTATAAAGTGTTTTAAAATGATTTTAATTTTAAACTGCAAAAAATGCCAAATATAAAAGACATTACTTGTAAATCCACACATTGTCTTAGCCAATCTCCTTTTTCCTGCCAACCTCTATGAATTGCCTGCTGTTCCTCTTGCAATTCTATTATTGTGTTGCAAATTTCTTTGGATTCTGGATTCTTTCGTAATAACTTTTTTCCTAATTCTTGAATATCATCAAATCTAGAAAATTTAAATGAATTATTATTACAATTATATAGATTTTTGTTAGCTGTAAATATTCTTGAATCAGGATTTCAAAAATCTGATAATTCTGGTGGCCAAATACCACCAGAAAATTTCATTTGGCTACCAAAAGTTATATGTGATAGCCAATGGACTATGTATTAGTTGTATGATATGTGAGAAAACAATAAACAAGCAAAATTTATTTAAAAATTATTAGTAAGTACTTATTACAATTTAATTTAGTTTGTTTTTTAAACCAATAAACTTTCAAATGAGCTAAAATTATTAATTTTGAAAGGATTAGATTAAATTACAAAATAAAGTTTTTAAAAAAGGTGGTTATTTAATTAAATTTACTGAACATTTAAAAGTTTAAAGTAAGATACATCAGCATATAAAATTTTTTCTGATTATAAGCCTCACCAATATAAAATATAAATATGAAAACTGAAATATTGGTTTAAGTTTCCACAGAAATTAAGGGTATGAAGGAAAATCATGTTCCAAAAAGTTTTTTTTAGATATACTACTATTTAAGAAACATAATTATGAATTTTTAAAATTATATAATTCATATATTTTATATTATATTATATTAATATTTAATATATATAAAAGCCATTGTCTGTGTATGTGTGTGTATGTCCTTATAACTCCTGCAATTTTTATCCAATCCAGATGAAATTTTGGTTATATTCATTTTACATTCTGATGGAAAGTATAGGTTACTTATTTTACAGAAATATTAACTATAGAATAAACGTTTTATCAATTTTGGATTGGTGATCGCACTTACTGCAGTAATGTCAGTGTCCTCATTTAGTTCATAGTTGACAATGGAATTTCCCTTAAGTTGCATTTTTAAATATTTTGGCAAATGACATATTTTAAACTTCATTAAATTTAAAATTTAAATTTCAAATTTTAAAAAAAGATAGTTGCATCATGTTGCTTCTACAACAATTAAAAAAGAAACTTTTTATAGTGACGATGTGATGTTCTATTATCCAATCGGAAATAATGATCTAATGAGCCTGTTATTTAAAATGTATTATCACGCATTAACTATACCTCCACAGGCAGCATAGGATACTTAATTTGTAGAAACATTAGCTGCTCTTTTTTAATTTCTTGAAATCTGTACTCTTCTCAATTCTTCAATCTCCATTTTCTCATGGAAAGTAGTCAGTCATGCTTAACGGGGGAATTTATAGTTTAATATAATGTAATATAAATATAAAAATATTCTACTCTACAAAATTCTACTCTGTTAGCTAGCTGGCTGGTAAACATTTCTGAAATGAATCCTGTTGAATATGCAAATTTTTTCACAAAATAAGTAGGCATTAAATGAATTTACTTTCTTTGTGAAGTCGCTTAGATCACTCATATATACAAACAACAGCTTATAACTCATTCATTTTAACAACAACAATTAATATTTTCTACTGTTAGACTAAAGAATAATATTAACTGATGACTTATTCATATTATTATTAATGAAATATTATAATAAAAAATTATAGGATAAGTTTAACTTGAGGCTATTATATAATCTTTATTATCATAGTTTAGATATGTTTTATAAGATGGAAAAGAAAAATAGTAATTGCTTTTAGTGCTTAACTATGGTTAACTTATTTTCTTTATTGCAATCATGGTATTAGAATAGATACTTAAATATGCATATCACAAATACTAATTGAAAAGGTAAATTTACCATATGCCCATTTGCCCAATGGTAATACATTTATATTAAGAATTAATATATATTGTTTATGTATAGTATATATTCATCAACTAGATATAACTACAAATATTTAATTGAAAATATTCAGAAAAGTAAGTATATATATTTTTATTCTTA